TAACTCGACACCAGTAGATTTATTTAAAGGTGGGGCAAAATGTGGCGGAAGATGAAGAGACAGAGAAGACACACCAAAGTAAACATTACTCACATTATATAATTGAGCATGGTTGGTTGTTTATGGGTTGTATTCAGCAAGGAAATGTGCGTCACTGATGTTGGATTGTAAATTATTTGTTCGTTCCCATAGAAGCAATTTAGGCCACAGGAAACATGGAGGAGATGTGTGGAAAGGGACATGAGAGAGATAGAGAGATGAAGCTCACTTGGAACGAGCTAGGAAAGATGGCTCAGGACAGAGATACATGGAAGGAGCTTGTATGTGGCCTATACCCTGCCAGGGGTGAAAGGCACTGATGATAGTAGCAATTATTATACCGTTGGGAGGTGGACTGTTTCGACCCTTGCCTTGTAGGACTGATTTGGACTGGGTCAGGACCAAAACGGGTTGAGTGAAATACAGCATCCCAGTAGACAGATACTGGACAATGACAATACAAGGTCTAATAATAATCATGATGATAGTCATACTACTACTACTACTACTACTACTACTACTACTACTACTACTACTACTACTACTACTACTACTACTACTACTACTACTACTACTACTACTACTACTACTACTACTACTACTACTACTACTACTAATGATAATAATAATGATGATGATGATGGTCTCAAACCCTTTTTTATTCCCTGCTACCTACAATGATGATGATGATGATGATGATGATGACGATGATGATGATGATGATGATGATGATGATGATGATGATGATGATGGTGATGATGATGATGATGATGATGATGATGATGATGATGATGATGATGATTATGATGGTGATAAAATTGATGGTGTATTTTCATTCATGCATGTACTATCGAGTGGCCAACTTGTGTATAATTCTTTTCTCAACAGGAAGCCAGTGTAGTGTCCCTAAAAGAGGTGTATTAGAGTATTCCTGTAAAACTAAACGCGCTGTATTGTTTTGAATAGTGTGTGAAGTCTTTTCGCATTTTCCAGAGATTTTCCAGATAAAAAGAGCAACAATAACCGAGTTAAAAAACCAACTGAAGTATTTACTAATAAGGCAGGATTCTTCGTATTGATTAGATGACTTATTGTACTGATTTTTCTTATATCTCTAGATGTATACCTGCAGCTGATGAGATAATTCACCTCAGCCATGTTGATACTCTGGAATAAAATTAAATGCCAAGGTTTTCTCCTTTTCTTGAAACGCCGTGGCAGACCAATACATAGAAAATATTTTATAAAGTGACTATTCCCAGTGACACTGGGGACAGTTAAAGAAACTATTCCTAGTGACAACGGCACTCTTTTGCATTAAAAAATCAGAAGTCTTTGCCTTTGAATTTCCCCCTCTAAACAAAATTGCGATGCAGATGTAAGTAGGCGCGAAGTTCTCCTCCTTCAAAGAATTTGAAGAGTTTACCCCGATCACTCTGATTTCAGACTTATTGCGCATGCTATAGGCCTAATCTGAGCAAAATCTGATGAGTTAACATCTGGGCCTATGCCCGGTGTGGGAACAATGATGGGCCTGTTCTCAGTGTCACTGGGAATAGTTTCTTGGCCTATTCCCAGTGGTTTCTAGGCCTTTTCCCAGTGACTCTCTCACTGTGACTCTCTCACTGGGAAAAGTTTATGGGCATATCCCCAATGTCAAATGAATTTTTCACAGTTCTCAATTCAACCTCAGCGGAGCAGGGTCTAATTTCTTTGATAATCGGGCCAATCAATCTCGAGAGACATCTCGATAACTAGACTGTGTTTTGGAGTTATCAGTTTTATTTTGCCCTCCATGGAAATTTAAAAAAAAAGTCTTTGGGTCTTTCTGTTCAATTTGAGTTCTTATTTGGAGTGTTGGATAAATGGCTTTTGTCTTTGTAATATAGAATCAGCGTACACTGTTATCTTGAGAAAAATGCGTGAAACGTTGAATAATCGATGTTTCGAGTCAAATATTTGGAGAGCTCAGCCATGATTCTTTCTGCTTTCTTTTTTTTATACTTACGCCTCTCCGACTTTTAAGGGGGGAGGGGCCCCACCTATTTTTGGTCAATCTGGGTCAAATTGGGTAAATACGCCTTATTACAATATTTTTTGCCTTTACTCAATCAATTCTTTGTTGATTTGATTGTCCTTTGGCACAGTTGTAGCTAGTTAGATACCCAACATTGTTTTCTTCTTACATTGTTATTCTATCTTCACAAATTAGAGAAGTATCTCATTTTTTGTCGAAAATCTTTGATTTTTTCAAAGCTCTTAATTTTTGACACATTTTTCGCTATTCCTCTGAAGATTACAGGTGTATCTTGATGGCGCTTGGCATACATGTTGCCCCTAGGGATGGTTACATTCCATTGTTATCGTTTTTTTATATCTATCTTGGTTTTCATTTTATGATTTAAAAAAATGTGGAAAATTGACCGTTTTCTGCATTTTTGACAAAATTTGCACAATTCTTCATGTAACTCCAAGACGAAATAAGACATTGAAAGATACTGACAATGTATAACTTAAATGCCTCTTGGGTACATGTGTACCAAAGGACAATAAAATGCATCCGTAAAGTTCAGAGGGGTATTGATTTGAAAACATGATGTGAAAATCCAATATGGCTGCTATAAAAAGGGCGGCCATCTTGGATCCGGTAAAACATTTTTTCATCGTAATACCTGTATCATGACGAAGTTGTATGCCAATTAAACCCATCTCGATCATGCAGAATTCAGAACAGCACTGATGATATAGGGTCTAGCCTAAAGAATTTGTTCAATATCATTCTTCCTCTGCCACATTCGTCTTGTTTGTCTCTGAAGATAGTGTTTTGTGTGTAGAGAGATACAACATCCCTGCAGAAAAACCAAGACACTCAATAACAATTCTTTAGGAACAGGAATCAAACACAGATCTTCTGTGTGCGATGGCAGAGACCGAACCACTACAGCACCAATTCCAATACACCGACTTTGAAACAACGTAGTTGATAATGTAAATTAATCTATTAACACACAGACAGACATTCAAACTCTCTCTGTCTCTGTCTCTGTCTGTATGTCTCTCTATCCATGTGCCTGTCTGTCTGCCTGCCTGTCTGTCTGTCTTTGTCTCTCT